ATGACTAGCTGCCTTCCCTCTAGTCTTACACTGCTAAATTATGGACGGCTAGCGCAGATAGCCCTCGTGTAGCTGTGCGCGAAATCCATAACAAACAAACAAACATAAAGACGCTGGTTTCTGTTTTTGTTTGTTAATTTGATTATCGAATAGCTACGTGTGAACATTCAACTGACGAAATCCTTCATTTCCTATTTATTCAGCTTCCATAATAGTGACAATAAGATGACTAGTAGAATAACTCATAACATTAATGAATCGAGGTCTTAGAAATTAAGTTTTAACTCATCTGCACACTAAAAGCGCCATAGAATGTCAGTTCTCAACAGATATCAGGTAATCACTAGCTCATTTAACTTTCAGAAATCACTTTTTTCTGACACACAGACAATAGGGAGGAAATCATCCGGATTAATTGGATGATCCACGTGTACTTACGTACAGCAAGCATCTACAGTGGTTGAGTACGTTATATTTAAAGCTTTTGGAACCTCACCACGTCGTTACAGTCCACGTCGCCACGGTTGGTCTTGCTCTATCTGAAAACGTAATGTAGTTTTCATTTCAAAAGGCTCCATTGTAACATCTTGGTGTCCAAAGCACACCACTCCTCCCTGAAAACTTTCCATAATCCATCTAATGAACGAGAACGGCTGATTTCTAGTGCTCTTTTCAATAATCCATTCACATACGACGACATTACCAGTAACGCTTGGCAAGGAACAGTATGAATACCCGTTTCATTTTTCATGTGCTTGAGGTATGCAGTGGTTGAACAGATATGTCGTAAAAGCAACTCATGTACACGTGATTTATCTAGGTTTTCTAGATGGCATTCTTTCTTGATTATCTAACTTACTTTTGTCTAGAGCATGTGGACGGCTTTTTCCACTGACTTTTGTGTTCGTGTATTCTCGCTTTTCACAAGACGCCTCGCTTTGCTAACCAGAGCTGGGGTAGGACTTGTTGCAGGTCTCTTTCTGGATGGTGCTGATGCCTCAAGTTTACCCACATACCTTTGTTTTCCAGTATCATTAAATACAAGGGGTGTCCTCATTGTGGTTTTGACATTGTTTGGCGTATAGTAGGCAAGGTGATGTCACCAATAATTAATCGCTTTCGGAAGGGCATGTAACAGCCCTTTCTGACGCAATATATCCATACACTCAGATCATGAAGATGAGTTCACATCGTAGATTTAGATTTTTGTAGTTCTGATACATTCCGTTTCACTGCAACTTTATATCGGCTATGGTCGTCACGTGACATATTGATTTGCATATTCAAAATGTTTTAAATAGAACTTACTCAACCAGCTATGTAATCGAACGTTTTTTGTTTTTTTTATTTCATAGTGACTGTCTTACTTCCCACGAAAGATATGTGTTACATATTTTATATTTTCTCCTTAAGCCTTACGTAATATATCTAAAAACGACTTTATCGAGGCCTTGGCCTATTAGCTTACATTATCTACAGTCTATTAATTTGTTTTTATTAATGGTCAGTTTCATGGTTTCCAATACAATTCGTTATCACTATTAATTTATGAAAAAATCTAACACGGTATATTCTCCTCAGTCTCTCATACCGGGTATAAAATGAATTCAAAACGTGGTATAAGTAGTGTGTCTTAGTAGTTTCGTAAGCCTAATTTTAAGCCTTGATTTTCTTAGGCTATCATTATTATGTGAAGGCTCAAGTTTCTGAATCAAACGATGCAGACGACGAGGACTTTAAAGCACGTCCACCTCAGGGTCTTATGTTTATTCAACTTACAGGATCAAAAAAGCATATCGGCCCCCTCCAAGCCAGGAAGTCGTAAGGAATAAATACAGTCTTATTGTTCTATAATGACTTCTAAATAGTAGTATATTTATAGTTGCTCCTTGCAAGTAATTTGTAAATTACAGTGGTTGGGCACGTGACCACTTGGCAATAAATACATACTGTGTCCTGCATTCACGTTCACGTGTATATTTCAAAACAGAAATGTCTACATAATTTAAAACCAATTAAACGTTCAATAATAAAAGTAAGGTTGAGATTGTAAAACCAGTTAATCGTTCAATAACAAAAGTAGGGTTAAGCTAGTGAAACACTTGTTAAGAGAAACACATTTTATAATATTTAGTGAGCACTGTAAAACCGATTAATCGTTCAGTAACAAAAGTAGGGTTAAGCTAGTGAAACACTTGTTAAGAGAAACACATTTTATAATATTTAGTGATCACTGTAAAACCGATTAATCGTTCAGTAACAAAAGTAGGGTTAAGCTAGTGAAACACTTGTTAAGAGAAACACATTTTATAATATTTAGTGATCACTGTAAAACCGATTAATCGTTCAGTAACAAAAGTAGGGTTAAGCTAGTGAAACACTTGTTAAAAAGAAACGTGTTTAGGGAATTGAGTGTGCACTAGTAAGACATCTGTGTTAGTTCATCAGTTATGACTTGAATTCTGCGCACATTTTAGTTATATATATGTTAAATATTATTTATTATAGCATATTTAATTTTGAATTTATAAAATGCATTGAACTTATAGAAAAAAAAGTACTAAAAGAATACTCTCCCGGTGTCGCCGAGGATAACGCTAAAAATTGGGTTTTGCTACCTGTTGTCGGCAGAACACAGATTGCCCATTGTATAGGTTAGTGCTTAAAACAAACCAAAACCAAACTAAATGAATAAGATTTCTGTCCTAAAATGGTGTTATTTATGTTAGTAAAACATCAATTTGCTCAGAAGAGTATATTAAATAAGTTTCTCAGAAGGTTATTTTATTTGTTGTAGAAGACTATCTGGTCCCACACACCCCCTCAAAAAATATGTATTATATTGTTTGTGTTAGAACAACATCAGTCCCCTCGGAAGATGTTATTTATTAGAAGAACACCAATTATCGGTGTTCTTCTAACATAAATAATACTATCTTCCAACATAATTGGTGTTCTTCTAACAAATAATACTATCTTCCAAAAATAATACTATCTTCCAACATAATTGTTA